TTTGACATCCATTTGATAGACTTTGAAGTCCTTATGAGCAGCAAAGGCTAGAAACAACCTTATAGCTTCAAGTCTAGCAATTGGAGCGAAGGTTTCATCAAAATCTATACCTTCTTCTTGACAATAACCTTTGGCAACCAATCGGGCTTTATTTCTGACAACAATGCCGTTTTCATCAATCTTGTTCCGGAAGACCCACTTTGTCCCAATGACATGTTGATGAGTAGGTCTGGGAACAAGTTTCCAGACATCATTTCTGGTGAATTAGTTGGGTTCTTCTTGCATTGCATTGATCCGATCAGAATCAGCTAGAGCTTCTTCAATGCTCTTTGGTTCTACTTGCGAAATGAAACAAGCAAGCATGGCTTCTAGATTCTTTTGAGCACTTCTTGTGCGAACGCCTGATTGAATATCTACAAAGATTTGTTAGGAGGATGATCCTTTAACCGACGAAGATTGTGTTGATTAGGGTTGACTGGCTGATCTAGTTCAGCTTCTGGTTGAAGAATGGAGTTTGTTGGTGTTTCTGGATTGGTTGGCACCTGATCGCCATTTCCGGAATTGTCGTCATGTGAGAGATCCGGGATTACGGAAGGCTGGCTATGATTTCAGGTAGGCTCAACACTATCTGAATTCGGATTTCTCTGTGATGTCTTCAATGGTAGACTTCTGAATGGAATGAACTCCGTAGGCTTCATTCTATCTCCTTTGTTGATTTCTTCATACTTGTCTGAGAGATCCAGAACCTCATGATCAGGCTTTGATGGCTTGTCAACCACATGTTTTTCAACAAAAATAACATGTATTGACTCTTCAGTGACCATGGTTCTTTTGTTGAAGACTCTAAACGCCTTGCTCACCAGAGAGTATCCAATGAAGATGATACATCTGATTTCTCATCAATAGTGTTCAGATGATTCTTCCCGTTGTTTAACACAAAGCACTTGCTCCCAAAAATATGGAAATATGATATATTAGGCTTTCTCCCATTACACACTTAATTAAATATCTAGAACCTAACTCTCACACTTAAGGGAACCAACCTTAAGATATAGAAATTAGGATTTAAAATAGCAAACACACAAGTGTATTACTAATATAAAATGAAGATTGCAAACTAGTTACAAATGAGGCCCTTGGCCGAAATTTAAACAAGAAAAAAAGGGAAGGAAAATGCTAAGTTCTTTCCTAATTCAAATCACAAACAACATTCATTTGCCTTGTCCTTATGTGGAATGAATTTCAAAGGGTTGTGATGGGTTTGGGAAGGATGGGTTTCGGACATATATGGGTGTAATAGGCTATGGGAATAAAGGGTGATATTAATGAGATATGTGGGTGATTTTGAGGGTGATATTTTCGGCTGGAATGGGGGGCAAAGAGTGCTGGAAAATATGGTGTAATGTGATGTGGAAGATTGGTGGTTAGAGGGGTGATTCATTCGGCCCACTCAAGGGACAAAGGAGAGTGAGTGATGTAGGTGTTTTTGGCTTGGTTTGGTTGGGGAAGATGTGCTGGTTATAGGGTCAAAAGTGTAGGAGATTCCCTTATTGTTTTGTGCCTTGGAATTCGGCACCTATAGAGGACAAATTCCCTTACGGTCGAGAATAGCCGTTAAATTCTTACGTTGTAACGGTTAAGGATAACCGTATAAATCCTTGGGTAAAAGTTCAAGGATAGCCTTAGAAATCCTTGGGGGAACGATATGAGATAGCCGTTGTAAAATCTCGGAGTGAATCCCATTGGCAAGGGTTGTTTGCCAAACTAGTGCGGTGCTTTGACGGAGTTCAAGAGACCGAGACTTAGTGGATTGGGAAATCTTTAAGGAGGAGCCTTAAGGTACTAGAGTAGGGAGTTCCCGAACCAGTATAAAATCGGTGTGCATTTACTTTACGCTTTTACTTTTGCGTTTTATATATTGCTTCCGCATTTGCCAACACCGTTTTTATCAAACTCCGAAAAGATTTTCTAACGCCTTATTCACCCCCCCCCTCTAAGGCGTGGGCACAACGACAAACCGAATAACAATTGGTATCAGAGCGGTTTCGTAGTTGAAAGTGCTTAATTGCATCTATGACAAAGATCCACTTGTTGTGTCCCTTTTAAATTTGAATTTTAAGATCTCAAAAATTTATCTTCCCTAATTTTTTTATTCAAATTTATTGAAAAATGGCTCAAATGGATTCCCAAAGTATTCACCGCCCTCCGTTTTTCAATGGCCAAAACTATTCCTATTGGAAAATGCAGATGGAATATTTTATTCAATCAATTGATTTTGATTTATGGTTGAATATACTTCACGGGCCATTTGTGCCGAGTAGTGGTGATTTTGCAGGTTTGTCTTTGGAGGACAAGAGGAAACTATCCATTAACGCAAAAGCAATCAACATCCTTCATTGCTCTCTTGGCCCCGACGAGTTTGCACGAGTATGCTCATGCAAAACGGCCAAGGAGGTATGGGAATTGCTACAAGCTACTCAAGAAAGCGACACCTCAACGAAGCAAACGATGATTGCCCTTGGGAACTCCGAATACGAATCCTTCAAGAAAGGGTCAAATGAGACAATCCAAGATATGAACAAAAGGTTCAACGAGATTGTCAACAAATTGAGTAAGTTGGGTAAGACGTATACTACTTCCGAGATTAATACGAAAATTCTATTTTCTTTACCTAAAGAATGGCATAGTAGTATCGTAGATTTATTACCCAAGTGTGATAAGGCCGAAACCGCCCACATTTGGTCTTCCTTGTATTCTCATGAACTTTTGTTGAGAAAGACCAAAGAGGAAGAAATGCGTGAGAATCTCAAACTTACCAACGCCTTCAAAGCTTCAAAAGACTCGTCTAGTGAAGAGTCTAGTGAATCAAGTGATGATTCAAGTGACTCAAGCTCTTCGGAAGAGTCAAATGATGAAGAAGATGAAGAGAAGGCAATGAGAATGAAGTATACGAATTTCCTCAAATGGAAGAAATATGTGAAGAGGAAAGAAGTATATTCAAAGCCGAAGAAAGAGCGGCTGTTGGAACACGGGTTTACGCCTTCGTCGTACTAAACTGTGTTCGTTTATGACAGGTTTTGATAATGCCAAATCGCCGCGACATATCGAAGCTAAAGTGAGCAAAACTAAGGCGAAGGAACATGGCATGATGACTTGAGAACCAAGAACCCAGAATCAAGAACGAAGAACTAGAATTGTATTGAGTCGGTCTTAATGTGATCAAGACCGGCACAAAATTCCAAATCTTGGCTCTCTAGGCTTAATTCATAAAAAAAACTCCTTTACATATTCAAAAATACCTTTCTTAAAGTTTAAACTTGGGTCAAAACACTTGGAGTTCGCCCAAGCCAAAAACCAAGCCATCCGGCGTTCGGCTTTAAAAAAACCGGCGTTCGGCTTTCGGTTTTTGGCATCGGTTTTTGGCGTCCGAACCAACCAAGTGGTTTTTAACTTTTTATAACTGGTTTTTACTTCTGGCATATTTAAATAGTTCTCCAACAAAACCACCTTCCGTTTTTGGTCGTTTAGTGAAAACCATGCAAAACGGCACGAACTTGGCTAGCCATGGTTTTCAACTAAATGACGTGATTTTTAATATGTTTTACTTGATTTCTTAGCAAAATGCAATAAACAAATGTTTTCTAAACTTGGTTTTTATTTTGGAGAACTTGCGTTTTTGACATCGGCTAACGGCGTGACTAAACCAACCATGGTCTAGCTAAACCAAGCCCAACAGCGATGTTGGGGTAATCAACAGCGCTGTCTGGCCTGGGTAACCAAAAACATGGTTTGGCGTTAAGTCTTCCAACAGCGATGTTGGACATCAGACATCGCTGTTGAGCCAAGGTTGGACTCCCAGAAA